ATTTTATTTTATTTATTTATTATTATAATTTTGAAACGTTAATATTAAAATAATATGGTTTTTGTAAATAGGACCAAACTACTACTACTACTACTACTACAACGACCACTACTACTACCACTACTTCTACAACGCGTTTGTCCGCTTATCGCAAACGCAAAGCTGATAAGAACTATATCCCTCGTCCTAAAAATTGTTTCATGGCCTATCGTGAACATATAAAAGAAAAATTTTTGGCTGATAACCCCGGTATGAATAATAAAGTTGTATCGATTCATGCTGCTAATATGTGGAATAATGAACCTGAGGATGTCAAAGAGTTTTGGCGAGAACGTGCTAAGCAACTCAAATTAGAACATAAACTTAAATATCCTGATTACAAATTTAAACCTCAAAAGAAGAAGCAAAATTTGAAAACTCCTGGCAACACCAAAGCTATAACAAAAGTTAATGGTCGTAAAAAATCTGACCCAAAAATTGTTTTTACTGATGGTTACTCTAATCCTGATGATGGAAGGAATATATATTCCGTAGGTTTGGAAGGTACTGATGATCAAGAAGAAATTTTCCTCTCCCATTTACAAAAAAAGGCTCTTTTCGGTCATTATAGAGCCTCTTCTGTAGATTCGGCTAGTTCTTGGACAAGTGATTCGACCGTTTCTACTCCTTTGCTTTCTCCTTTTGTAGGTTCACCTGCGTCTTTGTCCCCTCCTTCTTTCCAATCTGGTAGTCATCTGGGAAGATCCGCTTTACGTTACGAGGCTGCTCATGTTCCTCATAACGGTTCTGTTAACAGTAATTTATTATTGTCTTCTACTCCGACAATATACATGGACCAATTCAGCCAATTATACAATAATCAAATGGATTTAAGCGCTCGTGGAAATATACCTGTTGATGATGGTTTCGTACTTGATTCATCTTATGATTCTCCTATTTTGAAGACTGCACCTTCCACTTCCTTTTTCCAATGTTCTTCACCATCTGTTGAAATGTCTGCTAATGATTATGATTTAATGGCCATGGGCCATTATTCTGTTTCTCCTATTGAAGAAGAGAGTGGATTCCTTAGTGATTTTGACGGTGCTGGACCTACCTATAACCAAAATGTCTTCGATTCTTCATTTGGCCTTTCATCTTCTCATGAGTCTCAATCACCTCATGATCAACATTATGCGTTTGCTCTTGAAACGCCTAGGCGTAATTCTCAGCATCTTTTGTCTGAGTTTCAGAATGGTCTAAAGCATCATGAGATGTTATTACAAGGATTGTTGATGGAATGATTAGGTTCTGTTCTTCTTATTCAAAGTCGGTGCTTGCTTTGCGTTAGACGAGATAAAAAAAGATATATATATTGAAATTCGTGCGGGCCGATTATTTCTTCGGTCGACCTTTTATTAAAAGGTCCTCGGACACTTTTAAAAAGAAAAAAAAACCCCCAAATTTGCTCTTCTTTGTGTGTATTTTCTTCCTGTATTTAACTTTTTTTTCCTTCTCCCAAATACCCAAATATATATATTTCGCTTTCATTGTGTTTATAAATCTCAACATTTTATATATATACATAGAACATTTGCATTTTTCCCATAGACTTATATACCATAGAATTTCGAGATTTGACCGATATAAATTATCACTTGGCAATCAAAATTTACAAATTTTCATTTCTTTGAATTCATGAATTTTATTTCCTTGTGTTGATTTACATCATTCATTTCTCGAACCACATAGACTGCCAAATCTGTAAATTTTCTTTTCTTTTTCAATTGTTAAATAGACTGGCAGAAAACAAACTCTTATCATTGGTGCGTATTGTCAAGCTATGTTTAATGATAAGCATGTTTGTTGTATATTTTTTTTTTTTCTTACATAATTCATTCTTCCCCTTTCTATTTCGTTTTCTTTTTTTTTTTTTTGCATTTTCTTTAAATACAATTTCTAAAAAAAAAAAAAAAAAAAAAAAATAAATATATATATAAATAATTAGAATATTCTCCCACTTTTTTTTAATGAAAAGGAGTTTTTTGGTATTTTTTTTTTTTTTTTTATATAATTTTTTTTTTCCCTTTCTTTTTCTTTTTCTTTTTTTTTTTTTTGCATTTTCTTTAAATCAAATTTCTAAAAAAAAAAAAAAAAAAAAAATATATATATATATATATATATCTAGATTATCGTCCACATTTTATCTATCAACTATCAACATTATATATATATCCATTTTTTACGACATAATTATCTCCTAGCTTTATATGAAAAAGTCAAAAAAATTCCTACCTTATATTTTCTATTATTATATCAACTATCATACATAAGTATCTCATCAAACCGTTATTCTTTCTTATCCTCGTTTGTTCTTTAAAGATTAACGAGACGTATTACGCCAATTAAAAAAGTCAATTAAAAACATTCCCTTTTCATATATGTTCGACAAATTACATTGGGGTTAACAAATAAAGTGGTTATCCAAATACTGTTTACACTTATTTATGCCGTGGAGAACTTTTGACTTTAAATGGTCTAATTCATTTTTTTAGTGACTAGTGTTTCACGTGCACATCTATATTCTCTTTTTGTTCCTCAGTTTTTTTTTTTTTTTTTTTTTTTTTGTCGGTCGAGAATTTTAGGGAGAAGGATTCTTTCTAATTCTGGTTTAAAGTTTGTTACAAAAAAAAAAAAACTTTATTTTAAAAAACAAATAAAAAAAAAAAAATTTAAAATTGAGATTTATCTTTTAAATATCAATGTGATAATTCCCGTGCACTGTTTTATATACTTTACGTAAACTTTAATAAATAAATCAATCATTCGGAAAATTAAACACATGTCGATATATACAACTGAAGCAACAAAATTTATGTTTATTATCAATATTTTAGTGTCAAACTACTAATTATTAATAATATTCATTGAAGCAAAATTAAAAGCGAGTTATTTACACGAATATGAAATATAAAATGGTTGAAAAAAAAGAAAAAAAAAAAGAATAAAAAGACAAGAATCTAAAAAGACAGCAATTTTCGAATAATATAATCCAATAATGAAATTTCGTTTACATCAATTTTCAATAATAATGTATAATTCAATAGTGAAGAAGTGAAGAAATCTCGTTTAAGATGTAGTTCTCTTTCTGGTAGAAGATTTCCTTGCGCCGGTTTTTTTGGCGGTACCTTTAGCTCGTTTGGTCGTTTTGGTTGTGGGTTTCTTCGTCGTTTTCTTTACGGCTTTCTTGGCAGTTTTCTTGGGGGCCGCTTTCTTGGTTTTCTGTAATAAAAGGCTAAAAGATTAAAAATCAATTATGATATTTTAATAAATAAGGTTTAGATATAACATCTACCTTTTCGGCTTTGGGTTTCGATTCCTTTTTAACGGCTGCCTTGGGTTTTTCCTTTTTCTCGACTTCTTTCTTTTCTTTCTTTACCGGTTCCTTTTTAACAAGCTTAATAGTTCCGCTTGGTCCTATTTACAAAAACCATATTATTTTAATATTAACGTTTCAAAATTATAATAATAAATAAATAAAATAAAAT